GAGTCTCTAATGTCTAAAAATGTCCAAATGCTCTACATGAAACAGCAGTCTTCCGATCTCTTACTATGTGTCAATTGATTTTATTAAAATGCACGAGGGAGAGAGAGACAGCACTCGTGTTGTCTGACGATGTGAGAGTCTCTGCTCGTATGTGTCCTATCAAGCACAACAGTTTCTATTCTACATCACTCACCCATCAAAATAGGCTTCGGCGGGACAAAAATTTGATTTGGCGAACGATCTGATGGGTTTTAGAAGATTAAATACAAACCGAAACTAAAAAACAGACCCAGCGTCTATTTGAGACCGGCTTTTATTTACCCAAACCAGGCGTGTAAAAGAGACGGGCGTCTATTTGGGACTCGGCTTTTATTTGAAGTTTATTTGGTCATTTCCGCGGATCCACGTGAACTGGAGTCATTTTGATCATGTTTTATCTGTACAGAGGTTAAGTGAAGGAGGCCTAGTTCAAAGCATAACCTTTAACATAATATATTGGGCCAGAACAACAGGAGTTTCAAATGGCCGAATGAGGTGAAGGGGAGTCTGGGAAGCTCTGTACCTGCGAGTGGTTGAGGTCCGGCAGGCCCTGCGCAGTGAAGCGTTTGGGAAGCTGGCATTTGATGATAACGTCCTCCACCTCGTGACCCAGCAGCTTGTGGTAGATGTAGCCAGACACCGAGGTCTCATCCACAGCAAACGTCTTCAGGGCGCTCTGCATTCTTCATGACGTGATAAACAAAAAGCTGATTCACTAGATTCACAGATCATTAGACCACTTTGAAAATTAAACTGATTTCCCACATGTGATTACAAATAATCAGGAGCATCAAGCTTAAAAAAAATATATCCATAAAAATATGTTGATAAGACTCATGCATCAAGTAAGGTCATACGATAACCTTTTGTGAAAAAGACAAAACTTAAAGCTACAATATGTAAGTTTTTTCGCCGCTATGGGTCGCTAACCTCTTACAATAACAAAGGTGTCGGTTGACGACGCATTGAATTATGGAACTTGTCGTCATGCCGATGGATCTAATAATGTTTATAGATGAGTGATTGATGTTTTTATCAAAAAGCTGATTACTTTTATGTTTGTCCTTCATATGTTTTAGTATTTTATACTATGTTGCATTTTTTTTTTTTAAGTTTGATGCACGTTTTTATTGAATATGATGTTGTCGTTGATATGGCTATATGATTTTTATGTAAAGCACTTTGAAGTAGGGGTGGGCGATATGGAAAAAATATCATATCACGATTTTTTTAGGAAAATCACGATCACGATTTTTTATCACGATTTGTTTTAATATTTTGCAAGTGGCTGTTCATTACAGCCAAACTAATGTCCCTATGTTAAAAACAAAGCCTTAGGTAACAAAAGATAAAGAAAGCCACACATTTAGGCCAGTGGCGAAGATAAAAATCTTTGTCATTATTTTCTTTGTTATTAAAAAAATAAGACAAGATAAACATTACACAAATTAATATTCATATTAAATAAATAGTGCTTTATTTTTTCAGATAGACCCACATTAAAAAAAAATTGTCTTTTGTGTTCAGCACAAGAAAGAAATTAATACAGGTTTGGAACAACATTAGAGTGAGTAAATAATGACGGATTTTTTTTTTTTTTTTTTTTTTTTGTGAACTATCCCTTTAAGGACAAGCGGCAGTAGGCTACTATTTATTCCTGTTGCTTTAAGACCAGCACGCGACGCGTTTAATATAGACGCATATTACACCAGATATTCTCTCAAATGTTTGCTTTCACTTTAGACATAGCCTGTTTATGTAAACATTGTGTGTATTTAACAGTATTAGCTTAATAAGACTCGAGATAACTTAGTCCAGTATTCAGGCGCTGTTTGACAGACTTCTAGTGCCTGTGAGTGTCGGGGGTTATGCGGTCAGGAAAGCGCACGTTAGAACAGCGCATCAGCGCGTGAATTAAATGTTTAACCAGCAAGGCTTATGCAAATAATGAACTTTTGTGAATTGCAGTGTCCCGTACCTATTCCTTAACGTGTGATCATGTGTAGCGTTGTACAGTTGAGAGACGGAGGCGCCAGAACTGAACTGATGGAATGCACTGTAACACGATACTACGATATTTCTTCAAAAGCAGATCGTGGAGACATTTTAATCGTCCACGATTAAAAATCGTCATATCGCACACCCCTACTTTGAAGTGCATTTTACACCTGAAAAGTGCTATATAAACAATTTTGCTTATTATGTTATTATTATAGTTAACTAAACTAAAACAAAAATATGATATGTGAAATAAAATAAGTGTTTTTAAGTAACAAATAAAATTAATAAAAAAAACTTTAGACACATTTTTTTTTTAATTTAACCTAAACTTTAAAACGAAAATAAAAATGGAAAATATAAAAATAGTATCTCAATGACATTTAACCACATGCAGGTAGCAAATAAGCACTGTTTAAATGCAACAAAACAAATGGAAACGACTGGATGGACTATTTAATGAAAGCATTAAATTATACAATGTGTCTATATGTGTATGTAAGGGAGACCGGTTCATTCGTATTGCCCTCTGTTTTATGTTGTTTGCATATTTGTTGGCTCATTTGTTTTCTCTTGTATTATGCAATCTTGCTTGTCATCAACTAGTTTATTGGTCCGATACTTGCTTTTTTTCACATTTATATTGGTTTATATGTTTGTTTCCTTCACCGTTGTGTTTTTTAATGCACTTATTTGTATTGTTTACTTAAAAAAAGAAAAGAAAAAAGAAAGCATTAAAACGTTACAGTGGGACTAACCGGTCAAAAGATGTCGACTTCCACACGAAGTCCACCTGGAAGTTGTGCGGCACCTCCACGGGAGCCCCTGCACTGCTGCGCAGCTCGATGGCAATCTCATCTCCATAATCTGACACAATCTCGTTAAAGAATCAACTGTATCATACTTTTGTCCATTGTAAATCAAAACAGTGATTTTGCTGATATACTGTGTTAGGTGTTTGCAAAACTGTCACAATGCCAACATGTTGAGAATTTTGCTATGCATCTGAGTGGTTTCAATTATGATCCTATGAAATAGAGCCCGACCGATAAAGGATTTTGAAGGCCGATACCGATACAAATATTTTTTGGTTTTAAAATCCGATATTCCGATATATATTGGCCGATATTTTTTTTTAATTTCAGAAAAGCGCAACAAAACATCAACAGATTTCCCTAACATTAGTTATTTGTAGTTATTTATGAGTTTTAACTAAAATAATATGATAATGCATTTTAAAAAGAAACTTGTTTCTTTTATTGTCGCAACAGCTGGCATTAGCTAGCTTTATGGTTAGCTAGTCTATGATGAGCCATAATTTAGCAATGGATTACGTCATACTGCAAATTGTAAAACATACATTTTCAATATAACAGGCCGAGGAGAGATGATACGTCTCATTGCTAAAACTGTCACACGCTATTAAAGAAATAGTTCAGTCACATCAAAAGTTAAAAGGACAGTCAGTCAACTACACTGTAACAACGTAACGTAACTATTACTAGCTAATTCCGCTTCACTCTCGGCTTATTTAACAGCAGCAAAACTGGACATGATAGTCACAAATTTTGTCACTTATTTGAGTTAAGAGAACTGATGGGGATGATCTTTTAATTGTTAATCAACAATGTATGTCTCGTGACCAACTCAACGAGTGTTGCCAACAGGAACGGTGTAGTGCCCTCTGGTGGACAAACTATACAACTCCAACACTCATGACATGGTTCAAGCGTGTTTCGTGCATTTTTATTTTATTTTTGAAATATTCATTTATCGGCCATTATAACTGCTGATACCGATATTTTGGAAAATCGCTAATATCGGCCGATAATATCAGTCTGCCGATATATCGGTCTGGCTCTACTATGAAATATACTGTCCCTGATTAAAATTTCTAATGCCAGCATTTCACCAAAACCTGATACTTTAAAAAAAATTACACCCTATGCAGTTGATATGGTTGCTTATCAAATCAAAAGGGGTGTCACGATTCTCCAAATCTTCAATTTGATTTAATTTTCGATTCAAAGGTCACAGTTCGATTCGATTCTCGATTTTTACATTTATTTTTTTTAAAGCACAGGTCGCTATACCATTTTTAGACTAGACTTTTATGCAATATAATATCTGACCAAATTTAAAACATTTATTAACAACATAAATTGCTTAGAATATAATATTTTTTTATCTTTTATATCTTTATAGGAAACTTTTTTACGCTTGACACGCCGACCGGACATCACATGGGGGCGTGGCAGAATCGACGATTCCATTTTTAATTCGAAGTTTGAGATTGTGACTTAATTTCGGTCGTGACACCCTTACAAATCATCAATTCTATCTAATAATAGATCAATATCTAATAATAGTTTTCATTTTGCAGCAGCCAGTTGGATAATCTTCGTTGAAAGGATGCTGTCCGGGACTTTGATGACGTGTCCGATCCCTTTCCAGAGTGGAGCCAAGTCTCCTTTATAGCGCAGACAGATCTCGTCTCCTTGCATCAGTCGCATGTCTGATAAAAATCACCACCACAGAGAAAACACCGTCAGATAAACCACATCTTCCCGATTTATGTTCTAATAACAAAAATAGAGCTATATATCCATCACACACACACTACAGCAACACAAACACACATGCACGCGCCACACACACACTCGGGCAGACATGTCCGTGCACACATCGATGAGGGATGCATGGGACACGGTGTTAGGGATGGGATGGATATGAACCACTGGTAGACACAGAAGATGTTGAAAGTGAATATTACCACCTGAATCCGTCTTGGGCAGAGTGAAATAAGCTATCCGCTTTTTATTCAGTCCCAAATCCCACCTCACAGTTATATTGTCTTGAGTCTGCAGTAAAAGACAAAGAGAAAACATTAGCAGCAGAATAAAAAACGCATTTAAAGACACGCATATGATTTATTCCACTTATAAACAACCTCTCTTTACCAGAAAGAAACTCATTTACAAGGAAAAAACCTGAACGTCCATCTATCGCTTTTTTCTTGCAAATAAAGTGCAATATTCTTGTTCCCGAAATAAAAATCCCCATCCATTGTTATTTATGTTTTTAAATGTTATTTATGTTTTTATCTATTTATTATCTCATGTTTTTATCTGTTTTTGTGTAAATGTGTATGTGTTTGCTACCTGTTGTGAACTAAATTGCCCCTTGGGGACATTAAAGATATTTCAACTTCAACATTTTCTATTTTTTTTTTATTGTTGCAATAACGCAATGTATAACGTTTCAAGACTCAGATGTAAAGAGATGATTTGATTGTCTTGATCTTGATTTGTCTTTTTGTTTGGATTTTCACTTGACACTTGTATTTCAAACAATTTTAAGATTCATCTCAGAGCTAGTTGATTTTATTCATGGCGTAGAACTTTTTTTTTTTTTTTTAATGTCTAAAAAAATTAAAAAAATTGAAAAATACTTCCAGAATTAACAGAGCAGAAATGGATGGGCAACAGTTGCACCCCCTAGTTCACTTAGAAAGGTTTTCGTACTTGGGACTCTTTGAGTTTCTTGTCGTAGTCAGCCTCTAGTTTGACCAGTGGACCAAAAATGTTCTGGTACTGATAGGCATCTTCGTAGCGTAGCAGAACGTGCTGAGGTTCCTCATCCACTCCAGGTTTCTCCAAATCTTCCAGGGTCGCTGTTGGGTTTTCCTACAAACACGATAGAAGATTAGGATGCTCAAAACTACAGTTCTGCATTGTTGTGTTTTCATTTCATATGTAAGATGTAGTGATGCACCAAAATCTGGGTCGAAACCGAAACGTCTGGATGACCTTGGCCGAAAAATAATTATTAATTTCTTATTTTAAATTTTAAACTCTGTCACCCAATGATTCTATTTCGTCTACAAACCATGTTTTGAAAAAAATCACGCGATAAAACGAACCGGAAATGACGCAAAACAGCACGCGCGCCAATACCCGACGAAGAGCACACGTCAGACAGAAACTAGTGCTGAAAACTGTTTGCGCGATGATTTGCTCTGAGAAAAAAATGCCAAAATAAGATTTAAAATAAGAAAAAAAAATAATCATTTAAAATAATAAAGAAAAAATAAGATTTACCCGGTGACCTCAACCCATGGCCGCCAACAGATTTCGATTCTGACGCGCGGAAATTTCGCTTAAAACTTTTGTTTTTACGCGTGTCAGTTTCACTCTTGACGCACAAATTAACACAAAGTGGTCAACACAAAGTGATTTGACGCGCTATTCGTGTCTGGTGTGAGCGCACAGTTAAGTTCCTAAAAATGTTGTACTAGAGTGAAACCTGATCGCGGCATATTTTCGACTTTTTTTATTTTTCGGCCAAAATGCGACATTTCGGTGCATCCCTAGAAAGATGAGAATCGCTGCACCTTCCAGAGCTCCTCGAGTTTGTTAATCTGCTGGGCCGTGATCTGACGGGCCCTCAGCTGCTCCTGCTCGGATGGGATCTTCACCAACCAGGACAGAAAGCAACGGTCCTGGATGAGCGGCTGCCACTGAGAGCTGTCCCAATTAATGTCCTTCAGACTGCTCTGACTCGCGCACGGCTGCCTAAACACACAAACACACACACACACCCATGAGACGGAGAAACACCCTCAACAACATGCACTGTGTGGTTTCACAGCTTCAAGTGGTGCGAGTAAATGTATGCATTTATGTATACAACTATTGAGTAAAAAGATATTACACTTATATAATTCATAAAAATTAAATGTGTGCATTTATCTACATTTCATAAGCATATTAAAAGCAAGTATGCTAGCACACGAGGCACATAAAGTGCAAAAGTTTCTTGTTCAGTTTCATTGTGTAAACATTTAAATACGAGCAACATTGGGGACTTTCCCATTTCATTTTCAGTAAGTACCTTCACACATGAAAGAGTTTAGTCACTCAATATTAACAGTTTAATTACCTTAAAGGAATAGTTCAGGTCAAAATGAAGTTGTATGAGTTTCTTTATTATGCTGAACACAAAAGAAGATATTTTGAAGAATGTCAGTAACCATACAGTTGATGGACCCCATTGACTTCCATAGTAGGAAAAACAAATACTATGGAAGTCAATGGGGTCCAACAACTGTTTGGTTACTGACATTCTTCAAAATATCTTCTTTTGTGTTCAGCAGAAGAGAGAAACTCATACAGGTTTGAAACTAGAGCCCGACTGATAAGGCCGATACCGATACGAATATTTGTTGGTTTTAAAATCTGATATATCGGCCGCTATTTTTTTTTTTTTTCCCAGAAACGCACAACAAAACATTAACAGATTTCCCTAACATAGTTATTTGTAGTCATCTATGAGTTTTAACTAAAATAATATGATAAAGCATTTTAAAAAGAAACTTGTTTCTTTTATTGTCACAACAGAACCGAAAACATCAAAATATATTAAAGTTCTGATAAATAAAATAATAATTAGTCTCTACATTGCCTTATAAGCTACCTTATAATTACAATGTCAGGTTAGCTAGTCTATAATGAGCTATAATTTACCAATACATAATGTCATACTGCAAATTGTAAAACATACATTTTCAATTTAACAGGCCAAGGAGAGATGATTTAAGCGTGTTTCGTCCGTTTTTATTTTATTTTTGAAATATTAATTTATCGGCCGTTATAACTGCCGATACCTATAGTTTGGAAAATGTCTAATATCGTCCGATAATATCGGTAATAATGATCCAGTGATGCACTAATATCGGTCTGGCTCTATTTGAAACAACTAAATGATGACAATTTTCATTTTGAAGTAAACTAATCCTTTAAGGTAACCTTGTAAAGCTTACAGATTATGTCTTAAACATACCATAAAAGACACAATCAAGCAATTAGAAACAGTATATTTTTCAAAATGAACTCCTGTGATGAATTTATCCACAGAAACAGCAGTTTGCGAGTGAGTGGTGAATTTTACCTGCACAGAAGCACCACGACAGAGTCTGCTTTAGCCGGGATGAAGCCGAGAAGGAAGACGTTACGGCAGCCGCAGTTATAGCATTCGAGAACCGTCTCTCCCAGCGGCCCGTCCTTATGCAGCGTCACCTCCTTACATTTGGCCCTCACCAAATGGTTCACAATATGACTAAGACGACAAGTGAGACATCAGCCTTTAAGTGTTAACAATGCTTTTGAATTTGACAACACAAACGTAATCTAATTGGCGGACTCACCTGCCAGAGGTGTTGCCCCGGCCATTGCAAAACCATTTCTTGCTGGTGTTGCAGTAAACCACACATGCTGGATCATGGATGCCACAGTAGCTACAAACATGCAAAACAAAAACCAGCCCACAGAATGATTACTGTAGCATACTAGTAATACACTGACACACACTCCCGTAAGAAAGAAGTCTCTTATAAGAAGTCTCTTATATGTTTAGCTGTGCTGTGCATTTACTGAATGAGCACTGTGCCACTGTTCGTCCGACTGTTACTGCACTTCATTTTATTCTAAATGGTTTTAATTTACTGTATTTTATTTTTATCATAATTTTTATTTTTTATTATTTCTTATTTTTTATTCTAAACTGTTTTAATTATTCTGATTTCTTTTGATTATTTTAATTTCTTCTATGTAAAGCACTTTGAATTGCCATTGTGTATGAAATGTGCTATATAAATAAACTTGCCTTGCCTTGCCTTATACTCAACCAAGGCTGCATTTACTACATTAAACACACAGTATTGTGAAATATTATTGCAATTTAAAATAACTTTTCCATTTCAATATACTGTAAAATCAAATTTATTCCCGTGGTGCAAAGCTAAATCATTACTCCAGTCAAAAGAAATCATTCTAATATGCTGATTTGCTGCTCAAAGAAAAAAAAATAATCGTGGAAAAATATTTGTGAAAAACATGGTCAATTTTCTCAGGATTTATTCTTTGATGAATAGAAAATTCAAAAGAACAGCATTTATTTGAAATAGAAATCTTTATAAACGCTATAAAAGTCTAAAGTTAAATAATCTGTAAATTTCTTTACACAGTCGTTTTAACCTAAAATCTTACTGATAAAATAACTACAATGACCTACATAAATACGGCATAATGTGCATTGTACAATCAGAAGGGTCATGCTAGCCTTGTGGGAGTTTGTTTGTATAAATGATTGGCCGACTGCAGTTTCCAGGGAAATTGTCCAATTGGAAATTGAAACTGTCAATTTTACAGCAAAGTGTCATATACAAATAATGCTGTGAGTGATCAGAGAATGAAATCATGCAACGGCCTACAGATGAAACTCGAAAAATTAGAATATGGTGCAAAAGTTTGTTTATTTCAGTAATTCACCTTAAAAGGTGAAACTAATATATTATATAGACTCATTACATGCAAAGTGAGATATTTCAAGCCTTTATTTGTTATAATGTTGATGATTATGGCTTTGAATAAATATAAATATAAATAAATATCTCACTTTGCACGTAATGAGTCTATATAATATATTAGTTTCATCTTTTAAGGTAAATTACTGAAATAAATGAACATTTGCATGATATTATAATTTTTCGAGTTTCACCTGTATATCTCTCACAGCTATAGACACATAATTAAGGCACGTGAGATCAGGGCAGGAGTATCATCGTCATCGAATTCAGTACCTGCAGGCGTGCACGGGCAGATCTTTAGTGTAGTAAGTATCTTCCTCATCCTCTTCAAAGTTCAGCTCGGCCAGAAGTTGGCTGGTCTTCACCACTGCATCTTCTCCGTTGGGCAGAACTCCGTCAGGCCCGTTTACCTAAAAACACACATTTCACTTTAACACAATTTCTGCAAAACAAATCTTTAAATAGCACAAAAGTGAAACAGGAGATTCAATCCACTGCACAATGCTCAAATCACACACATCTGCATCTTACACCAGCAGGAAACTGCAGCACAAATGCTCTTAAATCAAGCGTAAACAAACACACACTTGATTTACTAAAACAATGAAATTTGCTCTGCTGCCTCATATAGTTACCCAAGGATGAAAATTAACCCATGATACTCACCATCCTAGATGTATACGACTTTCTTCTTTCAGCCAAACAATTTTTGTAAGCTATATTAAAAAATATTCTGGCTCTTCCAAGCTTTATAATGGGAATGAATGGTACCAGAGTTTTGGAAGCCTAAAAAAGCGCATCAATCCACGGCTCCAAGCCTTCTGGAGGGAAAACATCCAACATCCAGTCTTCCGCTGGAACTAGACTCGCTTACGGCCGTTATCGGAAGCCAGTGATTATAGTTTATAAAGTTAAATAATGGATATTTTTCTTTAAAATGCATTGTTTTGCTCCAGAAGATTTTATGAACACCCTGGATGTGCTTTTTTAGGCTTCCAAAACTCAGGTTCCATTCACTCCCATTATAAAGCTTGGGTATTTTTTAATATCACTTAAAAAATTGTTTGGCTGAAATAAGAAAATCATATACATCTAGGATGGCTTGGGTAAATTATAGGATAATTTGTTTCATTTTTGGATGAACTAACCTTTCATGCACAAAAAACCTGTTGCAACATATTATTAGAGCAAACATTAAACAATATAGCTGAATCATTCACCTTTAAACACACCAAAACATCTAACTTACCTGACCAAAACAAGCCTTATAATGAAACACTCATACTAAAACCTCAAACATATTCATTTGAGACCAGTGTAACTTAACACACAACACAATAACACATTATGAGAAGCAACTACTTACATAAACAAGCCCTAAAATACCACATAAATGCTCAAATACGGTGCACAATTATATAATAACGTATGCTTGAAAACACATAAATCCCCACATCAGCGGCAAAACTACATTATAATAACATCAATATAGTAAACAAATATCTGACAACACACCTGACAGCTGTAACCAACTCAAGATATCTGTAAATAGTAATCTAGATTTCTTAATATATTAAACAGTGCTGTTTAATATATTAAGAAATCTAGATTACTAACGCCACTGTAGTTCACAAAAGTCCCTCAGAAAGTAAGAAAATACACCTGGGATCCGTAGCTAACCAACCAAAACAAACTATTTGACATAACACATTCACCATCAATAATAACATATAAGATAGTATATTTGATTGAACTTATTAGTATATAAAATTAGTTAAAACATTAATGTAGTTGACAAAAGTCCCTCTGACAACTCTCTCTCTCTTGCAGGCGGCCTGCTCTATCGTTGCTAACGCTACCGCGCGGCTAACGCCTGCTAGCTCGCCATATTTGGACTCAAACGCGTTCTAGCCCGGCTGATTTAAAGCTCGTTTGTGTGTTTTTAAGCGTTTATAATGTTACCTGGTTGTCGAGCTGACTCTGGGTCTGGCCTTGGGTTTGGGTCTGGCTGGGCAATGTAAAGTCGGTGAACTCGAACTCGGAGCCCTGCGTGTCGGCCCCGAGAAGCTCCGTTTCCTCCGTGTCCAGGAAGGTGAGCGTTTGCGAGCTCGGCCCGTACGCCTCCACACTCATCTTTATCCGGCTCTATTGACCGCCTTTATTTCACAGAAAACACCGAATAATCCGTCCGAGATACGGGAGAATAACCGACCGAAGCGCGTCGGGCGACGTTTGTTTTGATTCGAAGCGAAGAGAAGGAAACGGCGCGCGCGATGGGCTCGTGCAGAAATGAAAGCAAACGATTCCGGAGAAAGATTCGACTCCCACTCGAGAGCGCGACGCACGGTGACGACACGGGCGAGCGCAACCGACGTAGAGCGCACAGTGCCGCTGACGTGTACACACGTTTGCTGTTGTTACAGGAAAAGCTCTCGTTTGTCAACATTTTGCTGTCATTTTAGAGCTTCTCTCAATGACACATCGTCTAGAAATAGAAGTCCTGCTCTTTCTGAAATATTATATTGTTTATAATCACCATGGGAAAATCTAACAGTAAAATTGGGAGCTGTGAAAAATGATACACCGGTTTTGCCAGATGAGAAGTTTATCTATCCATCATCTTACGCCTTTTATAACTGTATTATCTGTATATCTCTTTTATTTTGTGATTATTTTAATTTCTTTCTGCGTAAAGCACTTGAAATGTGCTATAATAAACTTGCCTTGCGCAAAATATTTTGGTTTTGCAGAATAAAGACAGTATATATGTGAATGGGTTGTGCCCTGAAGTTTTATTAAAAATAATAAATCCATTGATAAATTTAAATGCATTACGTTTTAACGACCTAATAATATGTAATAACCGTCAATATGTGTAATTATCAATTATTTGTTTTTATGTATCTGACTTCATCAAAAGGTGAATAAAGAGTGAAAAACCTGAAATATTTGGACCTCTTAATGCGCATTTTCATTGTAAACATACTTATATTAATAGGCCTCTATCTTTATAATACGATATGCTGATAATAAATTTTGTTACATTTTACAACATGAAAAACACATTTTGTGAATTTAAGATGAAAAAACAATTAAATAAGGCAGAAATCATTTATTAAGAGCTACGGTTTATAAAAAAGTGGAAGAATAAGGAAACACAAACATAATTAGGAAACACAACAGCGTCCACCAGAATGTGGGAATATTAAAGTATACACTTGTCAGAACACTTAATTCAATAAAACTGACCAGTGGAAATAAGGAAATGCTGAAAATAACAGTGTTTTTAGGCAACATTAAAATAATGAAGATTCACAGCATTATCTGTTTGGTCCAGTACGTTGTAATTAATAACTCAAATTCCAGTAAAAATCTTAGAAAAACAAACTAAAGAAAGAAAATTAAAACCATATGCAATTCAAATCACTTGTTATAAAATCATATAATGGATAATGTAATGCAATGTATAATGTCATTTAATGTGATTTAATGCAATGCAATGTATAATGTGATGTATAATGTAATGCAATGCTATGTAATGTATAATCTAATGTAATAATTGTATGTCATGCAATGCAATATAATTTAATGCAATGTATAATGTCATGCAATGCAATGTAATTTAATGCAATGTATAAAGTCATGCAATGAATAATGTAATTTAATGCAATACAATGTGCAATGTTATGTAATGTAATTATTAACTGTCAATCAGCAGTTATTTTAGTACAGGGCCAAAATTCTACATAGTCCAAAATTCCAGCATTTTGCAAAGAGTAAGAAAGCAATATAAGAAGAACATCTCCAACAACATCCACTGAGAGAAGACAGACATCACCTTACAATCATCTCACGACTTCACATTTCGTATAATTAACAAAAGCCAAACCTCTGATGTCTTCACAGCTAGCACAGATAGCAATAGACCTTGATTACTCAAAAGGCATCAGATTTAGACCCTGTACATTAAAGGATTAAAATGGTGAAAAACACATTTGGATTGTACAGTTAGGAGTGATGCATGTATCCTAAAAGTCTGATTACTCACTTTGGCACTTTAATAGCCAGACAGACATAGTTATTACGTCCTTATATCACTGTCCAGAAGCCGAAACATTGTTTTTACTTCGTCGTCATTTTAAACCAGCCTTTCCACCTGCTCTGTAGTCTGTGATCAAATAAGCTGAGGTGCTCATACTCCCTGCCCAGTGTGTGTTTGGGGTATTTTTGAAAGCTGCAAATGATACTGTCATTGAGATTATAGTTTTCACCGATATTTTAAATTATGTTTTTAGTTTTGTTAACTATAAAAACCCTGATTTGAAACGCTACATACACACTTAATTGGTAACACATTACAATAAGGTTTAGTTAATGCATTAACTAACAATGAGCCAAGGCAGTCAAACGATTAATCGCATCCAAAATAAAAGTTTGTGTTGACATAATATATGTGGGTGCACTGTGTATAGCCTAATTATTTTGTATAGCCTATATATAAATACACACACATGCATGTATATTTAAGAAAAAAATATTTATATATAACATTTTTATATTTATATATAATATAAATTATATATAAATCTATATACTTGAAAATATTTCTTAAATATATACAAGCATGTGTGTGTATTTATATATATATATATATATATATATATATATATAATAATTATACACAGTACACCCACATATATTATGTAAACACCAACTTTTATTTTGGATGCGATTAATCGCGATTACTCTTTTGACAGCCCTACAATGAGCACTAACTGTTTTCAGCATTTGTTCATGATAGTTAATAACAATGCTCATGTTAGTTCACAGTGCATTTAAAGATTCAACATTTGAGCTTAAAAATGTATCACCCAAGATTAATAAATGCTGTAGATGTATTGTTCATGTTAGTATTAGCAAATGAAACCTTATTGTAAAGCGTTAGCACGTAATCTGTTAAAAAACGAATATTTAAAACAAGACGACGGTGAGAGAAATAGACATACTATAGTTTCGACACGGTTTTCACATTATGCATAATACCAAATCTCTGCATGTTTCAAGTATACCCCATTAAAGTGCTTTCTTAATGATTTGAGCCCAGGATTGAGTTTAGCACACGAGTCGACTCTCACACCAGCCGAATGCTCCGTGTACGTAGCACACAAGTTAAAATATCGAAGTCTTCAAATGTGCATGAGCTCTTGAATCCAAACAAGAGTGTGTGAGACTCTCACTGGTGGTGCAGACAGTGTTTCTTTCCCTTGTTTTGCTCCATCAGTTCAAGCATCTCCAGAACGACGGCTCTGAGGGCGCGAGCCAGATCCTCTGCGCTGTACGGTTTTCCCAGAGGAGGAACATGGACAAACGCAGATCTGCCGTCGCCCAGAAACAGAGACGTGTAGTAGGTGTAGTCACACAGATACCTGAGGAAAGAGGATGGGGGATGGGGTCTTTGTTACACTGTAATTATACATTTAAAGGGACAGTTCACTTTGAAATTAATTTCAAATCAAAATTAATTAATTCGTTCGATAGGACATGTAAACACCTGATCGGATTGAAAACCGAAACTGGAAAGTTCTATGCATATTGCAATGACAGAAATGGTGAATTATGACTGGTTAAACTGCCATTATAAAGCTTGGAAGACCCAGGACATATTTCTATATATCAGGGTGAATAAATCATGGGCTAATTTTAATTTTGGGGTGAACTATCCCTTTAGGAGGGTTTTGTCTGATTATGACCTCTGACTGTAGAAGTGAGATCAGTGTAGTTTGAAATATTGGCTAATATGGACTGGATGCTTATATAACGCGTCTCTTTATTCAATATAACATCAGTGCACTAGTCTGCATAAACCATAAAGACCTGGAATACAATCATTTCTGTCCTTCAGAAACAAACATATTATTATGTAATAACACAATTATTATTTATAATTATTATTATATAATAATAATATTATATAATATATAATATTTATTATATGAAGAGTTCAGATGCAAAAGCCTCTAAGTGCCATTTAAAATTTTCTTCGAGAATGATCATTTTTATCAATCTTATGTATTAAAGTTCTGTAATTTCACTTAAATGACAATTAATAGGTAATCTTCATTGCAATTTAAGTGAAATTACTGAACTTAAACATACAAGCTTGATAAAAATGATCATTCTAGAAGAAAATTTCAAATGGCACTTAGAGGCTTTTGCATCTGAACTCTTCATATACTGAATAATAAATATTATTATTTAATAATACATTATTATTTATTATTAAAAAATAATTATATTATTTATTTTATTATTAAAAGTCTCCATATATGTTGTGAGAAGAATATATAGGAAATTTTAAAATTTGTATTTGTTAAATATATTGTTGTGTTAATCTAAAATCGTCGTCTAGGACCCAAAATAGATAAATATTAAACCTGATTAATATGAAGCAAATGCTGGTTATAATGCGCTAACAGCTCTATATTGGTGCAGTGTGAGCATGTCAACAGATCAAATCCAATTTGAAGCTTGTGACATATAAACCCGATCAATTTATTTAGCGTTCATGTAAACACTATGTTCGGATTCATCATCTGGATGAAACTAAATGTGTCCATGTAAACGCAGATACAATACAATGAGAACATACAGTACAAAACACACATACAATTTGCGGTCATGAGTTCACATATACCTTGCAGAATCAACAAAATCGTAATCATTTTAAGAAAAATCATAAAAATGCAAAAATTTTTAATTATTTATCAATGACATTAAGTATCTAGCATATGTAAACTTTTGACCAGCTCGATTAAAAAAAAAAGTCTTGTGGACTATACGCAAACATTTGTTAAGTGAAATATATGCAAATATCACATGAAATTTTAATGATCCTTCTTTATTTTGTTAACCCTCTGGGGTTCTTCGTTTAACAGTCACACTCGGGGCCTTCGGGTCAAAATTGATTCATATTTAAAAAAGAAAATCCAAATTTTTTTTTTACTTGTTTTTTATAATATTTTTTCTTTTCTTTTTTGGTGTTTTGAGAAAATTTCAAAAATAAAAAAAATATATAATTAGTATTAATGCAATAATTATGACCAAATTCTCCCCCATTGAATATAATAGAAAAAAAATATTAAACATTTAAAAAAAAAATTTTGGAAAATTTTTCATTTTGGAGTCAAGCCTAGGCCTCATAAAAGCAATTTTTGAAATTAGATGGATGCCATTTCGTGGACAAACTGAGCTTTTTAAAAATGCATTTGGTGTGTTTGTGTATAAAGGTGTGTTTGTGTGTGTGGATGTGTCTGTTTTGCACTCTTGATGTTTTATAGATTCACCCCTTCACTGTTGTGTGCTTTTTTCAAGATCGTAGCTGATTTGTAGATTGTACGCACAAAAAAAACTCAAAAAAAAAGTATATTCACATTTTTGCCAATTTCCCATTCATTTCCTATGCGGGTCCTGAGTGTGACTATTTTTTACGACCACTTAGACTTTTCAAAACCTGTCCCCAATTTTTTTGGGTGTTCATATACCAAGTACCATTAAAGTCACCAAGTTTCGGACCATTCCGATGAAGCTACGAATTTTTAACATTTTTTTATTTAAACGCTTCGGGTCATTATTGACCCGAAGAACCCCTGAAGGTTAAAATGATTTTCGTTTTAGAAATTCTGCAAGGAATCAAGTGAACTTATGACTGTAATTGCACATATTATGTCATTTTTACAATCTTGATATGCTTGAATGTTGATTATTACCAGTCTGTCAGTAACGCTCTGTTTACTTCCTGTCGCTATGAAGCCCCTCCTACTGAAAAGCACACTGTGCTCCCGCTCCGATTGGTCGGCTGGATCAGTGTGCACTTCGAGTGTGTTTAGAAAATGTCTCGCCCTTTACCATAACCACCAGTTTCAACACACTACTAACCAACTCAACCAGGCCCCGCCCCTTTATTCTGCATATTAATTATTATAATGAGGAATATTGTGACGTGTTCGTACCCGGAAGAAACTCAAGACTACAATGGAGGCGTTTCAGCGAGTACAGAAACACTGACACTGAGCTTTTTCCTGCTCAAACAGCAAAATTACACACTAAAAGTCCTGTTTAAAAGAGCATTTCACTGCGTGTTCGAGAAACGTCCATACCTGCCAGCGTCCTTCGAGACAGACACAGAGACCCCGAGCCCTGAGGAGTTGACTCTCTTGCAGACCGCCTCCATGTCTATGACAGAATGAATGCAGTCGGGTCCTCCCTCCTTACAGCAGCGGGACTCGGGACAGAACCGGCAGTTGTCCAGCCGCATGTAACCCTGGTTATGACCACACTGTTCCAGTGTTACTGTGGTGGCCATCCCCGAAACTCCAACGTGGACAACTAACTTTGAAAGAGCAGAAAGAAGAATATAAGCTTTAAAAAAAAAAAATAAAAAAAAATCTGTTCTGTCAAAAATGCTTAATTTCTGTGCTTTAATGCATTAAAAATAATTAATCTAATTAACCAGTGCTTATTTCTCTGGGTTTAAACATTCTTGGAAACATTTGGAATTATGTAAAGTACACAAGTTTACAAAGTATATAACATTGTTCTAGTGGTTTTTGGATATTTTAATCCAAAAATCGTACATATTGTGCCTTTAATAGGGCTGTCAAAAATTATGTTAATGGTTTATTAATAATTAACGCAGCATCCGTATTTTATACGGATACCCATCCGTTACTGTATGCGTATATGATCACGTGATCTGTGCGCTGAACCAGCTCCGTGAGCCAAGAGATCTGCATATAAACCAGTCATTTATTACTTAATAAACTTTGCAAAAATATTCCTTTAAAAAAAAATTAAAGTATCAGCTGTATGCAAAGTGACCCATATTTGGGTTTTGGTCACTACAAATCTATATAATTGACTAATTTAATCATGGAGTAAATTGAGATCCGCATATCTCTAGAAATGAAACATGTTGGGCCTTAAAAATTAAAAAACTAAAGTAAAAGTTTGTTAAGAACCAGAATCTAAAAGGATATTAAGAGATTCTTAATACTTCTTGAGTTACAGGCATGCAAACTTTAAAAAACACAAGTGCTTTTTCCCTTTTTTAAACTGTCCCCGACACACACACACACACACACACACACACAAATGTTTATGTTAGATGTGATTCATCGATTTGATAGCACTGGTTATACTAGGGCTGGGTATTGACACAAATTTCACAATTCGATTTGATTTCTATTCCGATTAGATTCAATATCAATTATTTTGGATATCAGTTCCAATAAATGGCAAATTTTCTCAAGGAAATCAAATCTCTAACTAATGCTGTAAACTATGGGAGTCTAGTTGTAGCCTATAGGCTTCATTAGCCTAATATGAAGGTAATAATGAACTGTTTTGTAGCTATACAAACACTTAAATTACACTTTTATTTATTTTTATAATAAGAAGATTATATGAAATATAAACATTTAAATGTGGCTGTCATAAAAACTTGCCAGATTTATTCAAACATGCATTAAATATTGAAGAACATTAAAATTATAATGCATATGTAATATGGTGTATATATTTAGCAAAATGCTCGTCTCTAGAGTTATTTTTTCTAGCTGACTAACGAGTTTATGCGGGTTTTCTGAGGTAAATATGACGATACATGAAAGATTCGGCTGATTGAGCGAATCAATGTGACATGATCTGGATTTGGATAAGTTGTACTCTATCTTATAACACACTTTCAGATGCTCATTCATGTTTATTTGGCGCTGTGACTGGTATTATTAAGCCGGAAGAGAGATCAGCGCTGCTGCTTCTCCAGAGCGATCTCACGCCACAGCGACAAAACGCTATTTATGTTTTTGAATTTCTAAAGAAAATGGACGTAATTTGAAAATTGAGACTTTGTTTCATATCAATAGTAACAAAGGACAAAGATTATTGCGATTTTTTTGGATGCGCGCAGCCGCGATACAATGATCCATTCATTCAAATGAAACAGGATGACTAATCGATCCTTGAGATTTAAAGTCCCCGTGAACCGGAAGTTGCAAACGATTTTTCTCCAGTGCTGTGACGTATTTCCAAGTGAAACGGAATATTGAACAGAGGGCAGGGTTTTACTCTAGCGCTCCTCCTCTCCATCTCTCGCTCATAGCAAACTAACGCTTTGAGGGGAGTGGTTAAGCGTTTCCCCACCCAAGTTGTGAAACCTACGTCATCAGAAAAAGAAACCGTTCCAGACCGGAAGTAACTTTTCAGATTTTGATTAAAGATTACCAAGGTAAAACATTTTTTAAATATATTTTTACTAGCACGGATTAATTGTTCACCACAAGACTAGTAATATGCGCTAACAAAGTAAATAGGTTCAATTTTGATTTCACGGGGACTTTAAGAATCGATATCGGTTCGTAAAAATGAGAATCGATTAATATCGAGAAATCGATATTTATTACCCAGCCCTAGTTTATACAGATAAAAACTCATTTGCTACAACACAAACATGCGGTAATGAGAAATGTTTAGGTGTTTTATCGCGAGTGTGTGTGATTGCGAGCAGATATAGGTACGCTACTTGTGGGAGGTGCTGTTTCCATAGAGACGGCAGGAGAGTTTGGACGGCCTGATACTCCACAGGAACTTCAGCAACATGAAGGTTTATTTCGTCACCCAAACCCAGTTTCTCCAGCTCCTGAGAAGAGGACATTTTACACAAGAAAATGTTACTGCTTCAGTGCTTCTCCAACCATAGATACAACCTTTGTAAAGATTTCAGACCGCCAATACTTGCAGACTCACTGTCTAATAATATCCTTATCTAGTTATCATTAATAGTTGTAACTGCTGCCTAATACATTCATTCTGTCTGTTTTATTGAATACAAGACTTTAACTAACCACATAACGTATGAATATTGCCATATGTACATTACTTTGATACACTCATCACTGACTGATAACAGAATCATTGCTGATTGTGTATTGTAAAAAGTGCTATAAAAATGAAATTATATTGAAATTAAGATTAGATTTACGCTGAAGTCATGCATAAACAAACATAAGTACAGATCATAGTTCATCGGCTCATTTCCTACAGGTGCAAATATCATACCTGTACTGCCACCCAGCTGGCATTGACCGCATGTTCACCAAACGGTCCGAAACCTACAGAAACACAACCATAACTGTCTTATATATATATATATATATATATATATATGAAGAGTTCAGATGCAAAAGCCTCTAAATGCCATTTGAAATTTTCTTCTTTAATGATGATTTTTATCAAACTTGTATATTTAAGTTCAATAATATCACTTAAATAACAATTAATAGGTAATTATCATTGCCATTTAAGTGAAATCACTGAACTTAAATATACAAGTTTGATAAAAATCATCATTAAAGAAGAAAATTTCAAATGGCATTTAGAGGCTTTTGCATCTGAACTCTTCATATATATATATATATATATATATATATATATGATTCTGATTGGTCAATGGTGTCAATCTACAGTCAAACATTTTGAATAATAACAATAAACTGAGTAACAGTTGAAGAAGAAAAGAACATTTAGAATCAAATCAATATTTCATGTCAATCTATTTATTTGGTAATTAGTCATATGATGCGCAGAATAATGTGCAAGTTGACACATGTTCTCTGGCCGAATGTTCTCCCCTGCTAGTTCACATTATAATCAACTTCTCTTTTATAGGCGTTACACCCTTTAAACTCAAGCTGGAGTCAGCAGAATCGAAACAGTCCAGAGTCTAAGACTGGATTTAATGAGTAACTGCATATTTTTAACAGCTCAATCTGGAAGAAAAGTAGTTTTTAAATGTGCAATGATGATGGAAATCAGTTACTTTAAAATATGACAGTACTAAATGATTATACAACAGTACATACAGTCATTTACAACAAACAGGATGATCATCATAATGCTAAAGCTATTAAATGTATATTAATTAATATCTTATATTAATAATTAATTAGTAATTTATACTAAAGCTGAAACAAAATATATATATTTGATGCATTTTTTTTAACTAAACAAAAATCAGAAATGTTGCCTTGACTAATTGAAATATGCAACGAAACAAATAAAAACTAAAAATTACAAGATAATAATTGATATGTTAATACAAATATAAATGTATTATAATAATATAATATTAACAATAGTGAAATAACACTGACTCTAAATACTTCAAAGATAGCCATAGTAAAGTATTGTTATAAATGTCAAAACAAACATAACCGGAAATTTACATGGTACACGTCCCAAAACAGTACTATGGTAAATAAAGTATAAAAACTGAAAATTAGCATGGTAAATGATAAAAACATGAGTACCATAGACAGTAATAGTAAAATACATGGTATCAACACAGAAAATAAAGAAAAGAAAAGACAAGACACGAAAGAACAAGACAAGAAAACAAAACAAAAGAGACGCGGACTCAGCTGTCACTAGAAAAACTCTTAAAACTAAAACAAAAACCACATGATCCATCAGAAACATTCCGTTTTCCGCAAACAAGATTTTTATCACAGTTTACCTGTCACGATCACCGTCTTCTTCTGGTCCATCACTGACAAAGAGGCGAGTTTCGATCAAGAACAGAAGAATGACCATCAGATGAGATCTTCACAAACTGGCATCATGAGCTGAGACTCTTCCTCTCGTCCTCTCCGTCTCTGAGCTGAGATCAGCGGTAACGGTGCACAACAGCGCCATCTGTCGCTCTGGCTGTATTTACCCTCGGGAATTATTCAGTTCCTGAAATAATAAATACTTGAAGATGATTATATAAATATATATTGTACACTTGTTTATTATCTAAATAATTACGTTGCCAAGACGATAAATACTCGTAAAAATCCCATTGACTTACATTGACCGAAAGTTGAGCCAAGACTGTTACAACTCCAACTGTCAAAATTCAAATTGAAACATCTATCTATCTATCTATCTATCTATCTATCTATCTATCTATCTATCTATCTATCTATCTATCTATCTATCTATCTATCTATCTATCTATCTTGCTAAATCATGTAGGCTAGTAACACTATTGTACACGAATTAGCACATTGCTAGCATGTTTCTAACATGAATTAAACGTGACAACATGTTAACGTGATTTAAAACATTGTTAATTAGCATGTTGTTAACATGTTTTAACCTATTTTTAGTCTGTGGTTTAAAAACATTGCTAGCAGGATTTAACACATTGCTAGCATAACACGTTGCTAGCATGATTTAGATAGACTGTATAGGCTACCATTGGCTTCTAACTTTAAGTTTTAAAATTAGTTTAAACTTCAAACTACTACTGAACTAAACTACTCCAAACTTAACGCTTTTAAAATAAAAACTCTTTCAAACTTTTCTTGACGAACTTTTCTATCTAGTTGAACATTATGAACTTCACAGTGCTGTTAAATAAAGTTAGGCAGGATGGCACCAAGGCATTTATCTCTGCAAAATAATTGTTGCCCTTTAGAATAATCTTTGCCTAAACATAAAGCAATAAAGCATGCATGGACCTGCTTTATTGTGGAGTGATAGGTGGTTTAGTGCCAACACCCATAACAACTGAGATCTGGTCCAACCCTGTTTGTTTTAGCCGGTTGCTGTGTCTTTAAAAGAATTGCTAGCCATTGAGGTGTTTATACTTTACCATAATCACTAGAAGTTCCTTCAGGCCCTGAGATGATGCTAAACACAGGAAGTGAGGTGGTGTAGACAGGAAATTCATTGAAAATGCTGCCAACAAGATATAACATATAAAGTGCTGAATTGCAAAAGGATCTTTTAATGGTCATACACATCTTCTACAGCAATTCCTTGAGGATAATTTTAGTCAAGAATCAATCTGCTCACATATAGCATATTTACATTTATTCATTTAGCTGACGCTTTTATCGAAAGCGAATTACAATTGCTATGTCATGGTCGCACGCCTCTGGAGCAACTAGGGGTGAAGTGTCTTGCTCAGGGACAAATTGGTGTCTCACAGTGGACTCGAACTCAGGTCTCTCACACCAAAGGTATGTGTCTTATCCGCCATCACCACCTCAAATAAACATATAGGCTATTTATTTATTTAAATGTGGTGATTCAAGGGAGGCAATTTACACAAGTAAAACACAAACATTACAAAATGTGACATTAATAAAGTGTAAGTCACTCATTTTCTAAATACTGTCCAACAGCAACACTCATATGAAGTTAAGCATCTCTCTTGTCTCCCTTGAGCCTGTTGAGTTTTAAAGTACCCCCGTAGACAATAATTGTATCTTTAAAACTCATCTTTTATCACCAAAATTACATATTTAAACATTTTTTCCTGTTTTTATTATTATTGCGATAACCTTTTACATATGATAAAAGGTTAAGAAAAAAATGTTGTGTTGATTAAAATGCTAAATTTGATATTATATTGTGTGTGTAAATGAATAGACTTGGACTGTGTGGCGAAACCAAATGCACAGGACAAGAGACAGTATTCATGATTCTGAAGCTAAAAATACAGAATTATTTTAGACATAAATGATTGCACTCCGCCACTGACTCGATATATTAGAAATAACATAGGCCGCTTTTTACACAAATATTCCCCCAGTGCATTATAACACATTATATATATAGTAGTTTAATGTAGTACTGACACTAAAACTCTGAACTATCTTGAACTATCCTCAATAAATATTGTGACACAATATATTGCTATACACCCTTATTGTATGCATATAAAGTCAAACATTGTTTTTGACTAAACAATAATGGCTTTCAGTGTGCATAACTATCTCTTATGTTTCCTCCTCCATTGCTGGTAAAAATCCATCTGTTCTTCTTCTTCCACCCACTCATGCTCTGCACATCTTCACCCCCGCTTCATTCACCTGCTCTGCGTCAGAGCCCATGTCAGTATGTTGCCATGGCAACGGATGATGATGATGGTGATGCTGATTCTATTCTCTGATGCAGTCGGTCTACAGACGTCATCGCCTCCCATTCAGATCTGCGCATTTCCCCACGCTCTCCTTTCTCAGACTCTCCTCCTGCAGTGGTATTAATAGAAATCCACACGGCTAATTCAATTCATGAATGCATTTTAACTTCAAAGCATCTTCACGTCCCTCAGGATTAGGATTTCTAAACAAAGTTGCCATGTTCCCTTCCCTTCATTAAGTGATATTTGTACGGTGGCAAAAAACAAACAAACAGCTTTGCAACAACGTTTTGTTTACGACTATTTATATTTTGCATACATTATGCAGTAACAATGCATTTACAATACACTAGTGATAAATAATATAAGCATATGGGAAATAAAATAAATATTTTCAACTAAACTGCAACAAGTTTGCAACCAAATCCACATTTAGTCTAATATGAACAGTAGTTTTGACATCAGCTGTGTTTTAAATGCATTTAAAAACAAATTATTTTGGAGTATCTACTTTCATAAGTATGGATATAACAATTATTCCTGCATATATCCATTGTTATACTCTTGATATATATTATTTGTATGACACATTAATTATGCAAATACTGAAGTGCAAAATATACAATTTTTGAAACATAATGTTGCAACATTGCCTGTGTATAGGCTATCATCCAAAATACGTTTAGATCAGACAATAAAACTATAAATGCTTATAAATTGCATAATGCTTACAATAGAGATGAAAGTCCTCATGTGCATGTGCACACAAATAAATTAAAATAAGCCTTTAATAGTAAATTAGTAGTGAAATTCAATCAAATTGAATTCAAATATTGTTCAAATTCTGAATTAAGAACTTTAAATTAATTAAAAAAAAAAGTCTAATTGCATGATATTAATAATATGCAAGAATTATTCATTGGAAATACCATTAATCTTGAAAATAGGCTTATTTTAATTTATCTGTGTGCAGATGAAAGTCTGCAAGTGCAAAATAAATAAAAAATGTATTTGAGTGCACTTGCAGACTTTCATCTTTCTTGTAAGCATTATGCAATTTATGAGCATTTATAGTTTTATTGTCCGACCTAAAAGTATGTTGAATAATATACACCGGCTATACTGTTGAAACATTATGTTTCATAAACATTTTTATAATGTTTTTATAGCAATTTTAGCACTTTTGGATAAATCTTGAAAAAAAAAAAAAAGCTAAAAAGTTGAGTGTGGCTGTGCATACATACGCTTATAGATTTACATAACTCATATTTAAAGTGTATATTATGTACAGTGTGATCAACAAGTCTGGGGAAAACTGGGACAACCTGTAAAATAAATAAAGTTTAAAGACTTGAATAAGAAATATTCATCTCTATTTCCAACTCTACATGAGTGTGGATAATTCCATCAGATAAAAAAGCTAAAGTGGAACTGGAACACTTGATCAAGCGTACAAACAAAGACCTTCAACATGTTCAAAAATAAGGGAACATTTTCTACCAGCCAGGCTTGCCTTGTTGGTGTGTCCCCACCCTCGCGCGCTCTCTACGTTCGCTATGACATCAACCCACAATGCACCGCACTGTTTGCCGTTTACTCGCCGTCTCTGTGGCGACAGCCCGAGCGCCGCCCTTTATGCAAATGAAACCGGAAGAAAACGTCATCTTTGGCCAATCTGAGCGTTCTAAAGTGACATAATGGAATTTTTAGGGATAGAAAACTTGCAAATGCGTACTGACGCCCATAGAGAACACCTCTCGTGCAAAGGAGAAACAACAATACCGTAAAACAATACCATAAATCGATCAAGGGAATAAAAATAAACGTTCGAGGAAATACTAGTGCGCTCAAATGCGTCGTTTGGACACCCTTCACTGGGTGTAGTAGGATGGGAACAAGCCTTTACCCAGACGAGGATATCCAAGGAATATCACGCATAATGATGAAGAAAGACATGAGTTTGAACCTAGACGACCAGAACAGCTCGAACCTCAAGCCAGATTTGAGAGATGCCGAGGGAATTCTCAATTCACCCGATTTGGGGCTCCTAAAACTGGCTTCTCCGGAGCTGGAAAGGCTGATTATCCAGTCTAACGGGATGGTGACCACCACGCCGACCTCGCAGTTCGTCTACCCGAAGTCGGTGAGCGACGAGCAGGAGTTCGCGGAGGGATTCGTCAAAGCCCTGGAGGACCTTCACAAGCAGAACCAGCTGAACGGCGGACCGTGTGTTCCACCGACGCTTAGCCGACTCACAAGCAGCTCTAACCTCGCCTTGCCCACGGACCTGCCCGTGTACACGAACTTAAACGCGTACGGAAGTACAACGGTGAACTATTCAACGGACACGATTCCGTTCCCTCCGCCGCCGCCCGCGCACCCAATGGCGACGCAACAACCGCAAAAGGACGAACCGCAAACCGTTCCGGACATGCAAAGCTTCGGGGACAGTCCTCCGCTCTCCCCCATCGACATGGACACGCAAGAGCGCATAAAGGCCGAGAGAAAAAAGCTGCGCAACCGGATCGCCGCCTCGAAATGCCGCAAGAGGAAACTCGAGCGGATTTCCCGGTTGGAAGACAAAGTGAAATCTCTGAAGAACCAGAACACGGAGCTCGCGTCCACGGCGAGCGTGCTGAGAGAGCAAGTGGCGCAGTTAAAACAGAGAGTGATGAACCACGTCAACAACGGCTGTCAGTTGCTGCCTAATCAAGTTCAAGCTTATTAAAAAAGAAAATGACAGTTGGGAACTTCATTGGGACTAACTAACGTTACTTCGTCATAACTGCGGACAGCTCTGTCGCTCAGTCACGTGATACAATCATCTTGTCAGTTAAAATCCTCCACATTCAATTTTTATTTAGTTTCCTAGCGTTTTGGAGAGAAACGTAACTTTATGTCGTGGGTCTTTTTCATGTGTTCGCAATTTGCATAATGATGCATTTTAAAGGTTCATGACCAAACGTATCCTTTACAAATGTTCACAATGTTGTTGCAGATTAAATATAATGTGGATAACATTGAATACATGTATTTTCATCAGGTTAGATACCGGTCAAACCCGCACACCCGCCATGTTTGTAGTTTTTGTAACACTTTTTATTGGCGTTTGTAGTTCTAATCGAATCCTTGTCCAACGCGGCAATATTAGCCGTTAGTGTGCATTTTCAACATACTATGATTTGGGACACGTTAATTCTAATTTCGATTTTAATTTAAACTACTATTTACGGCGGATAGTATGCACATTTTATTTAAATTAAGCTGTTATTTTATTAAGCTAATTCACAAAGAGTCATGCTTTGTTATACAATGAAACTAGCGATTGTGCGCAGTGATACGACACTTCTTGTCGGTGTCATATTACAGCGAGTAATCAATCTTCACCCAGGACTGGAAATATATCTAATTATATCTGTTTGATTGGACAAGCAGTATAACGTTTTTCTAAAATGTCACTGGAAAGTTCGCTCCAAGTATCCGCCACATGTGTGCTGTTTTGGTTTCTTTTGGAGCTATTTTTCGTTGCTTTTATTGTAATTATGTATATTATTTTCCGTCATAAATAGCCATCATTCCGCCAAAAGATATAGTCCCTGATATGACAGAATGTTGCAATGCAACGAAACTAAGGATTGTGCGATTGTATGCTGTTTTGCATCATATTTTAGCGATTGATCAATCATCCAGGACCGGAATTATATCTTTTTTTTTTTTTTTTTACTTCATATCTATTTTTGATTGGACAAGCAGCGTTCCTAAAAATTTCCTAAAACATAACTTGAAAGTTCCCTCTTTGTATCAGTCCACTGTCAGTCTGTGCGTTGCTTAGCAACACGATTGTGTTTTGGTTTCTTTTGGAACTAATTTCGGTGCTTTGATATTTTATTAAATTGTTATTATGATAATTGCAAAAATAAATACAGTCCCAGACTTGACTGAATGTTGCTATGCAACAAAAATAAAGTTTCTGATAAGCTAAAAGGTGTTTTGTATGGAAATTTGTTTTCGCCATGGAATAAAGAAATTTAAAAGAAAATTGCGACTTTTTATCTTGCAATTCTTACTTTTTTCGCAATTACGAGTTTATATATCGCAATTCATACTATTTTGCTATTACAAGTTTATATATCGCAATTAAAACTATTTTTGGCAATTCTGACAATTTTACTCGCAATTGCAAGTTTATATCTCGCAATTTTGACTATTTTTTTCTCGCAGTTTTGACTTTTTTTCGCAATTCTGACTTTTTTCTTGCAATTCTGAGTTTATATCTTGCAATTCTTACGCAATTATGAGTTTATATCTCACAATTCCTTTTGCCAATTCGGACTATTTTTTTCGCAATTGCGAAATTATATCTCAAAAAAAATTTCTTGCAATTCTGACTTTTATTCCTCACAATTGTAAGTTTATATCTCACACTTCTGAGAAAAAAAATATAATTGTGAGATTAAAAAGTCGCAATAATCTTACTTTTTAATGTTTTTATCCAGTGGCGTAGTCAAGCTTCCCATAGTTTCGCTTCATAGCTGTCTCTTTATGTTATATTAGCACTACTGGAACGCTGCATTGACCAATCATGTTTTCTATTTTTTTAACTATAAATATATTTAGGCCTATACAACAGTTAGTTCTGGTACACTAATTGGATTACACTAGCAGTCTAGTGAGTATTTATAAGAGCACTGAATTCATTTCACTTGCACTGTATCACTAGCATGTTGATCCAGAGGACTTTTTCTGGAACCATTTTCTTCGGCAGAGCAACAACCAACAAAAAAATGTCAGATACTCAATATGAAGAGTTGTATAAGAGCAATATCACATTGCAAGGCATCAGACCTCACAGTGCCCAGTGATGAAGTGTATTAAAACAGCAGCCTGGGAGTGTAATGTGATGAAGTCAGTCGGATAAGTGTGTGTTGGAACATTATTCTGAGCTGCTGTCACTGTCAAGTCAACTACACATTTACTGATGCGTAAAGGTCACAAACTGATCTGATCTCACCCTTCCAGTGACCATTGATTCTCGTTGAACTGTCGAAGCGGACACTACAGGTGCTGATGTATAATATGTTTACAATATTTTGTAGCAAACAGACTCACGGAAGCAATTATGCTACATCATTTGATCTCTCGAGAGGAGATCTAAGCTGTATTTTTGCATGCTCGAGACAAGCTCAAAATGAGTGCAACCAAACACAACAAAGATGTCATGCATGTATACGCTTCATGTTTAAGGCCTTATCTGACGACAAGCTCTTATTAATCAACGACTGTATCTATTTTATATACAACTATTCACACAATGTCTTACTTTATGCTCTTTTGGATTTACGTGTGCCATGCTGTAAATGTAAACTTTCCACCTGTCACATGTCCTGTACAGCCTTCATACGTTCCTAGTGTGATGATGTGTACATTAATGTCATTAAACCTGTTCAATTCACTTGTAAAATTATATATTTGTGGCAATTATATACCCCTCTGTTCATGCATACAAAAACAGGTGAAACACAAAAAATTAGAATATGGTGCAAAAGTTCATTTATTTCAGTAATTCAACTTAAAAGGTGAAACTAGACTCATTACATGCAAAGTAAGATATTTTAAGCCTTTATTTGTTATAATGTTGATGATTATGGTTTACAGATATGAAAACCCCAAATTCAAAATTAGAATGTTGTGAAAAGGTTTTCATATCTGTAAGCCATAATCATCACAATTATAACAAATAAAGGCTTGAAATATCTCACTTTGCATGTAATGAGTCTATATAATATATTAGTTTCACCTTTTAAGTTGAATTACTGAAATAAATGAACTTTTGCACCGTATTCTAATTTTTCTAGTTAGTCTTAAACGTTTGTAGAAAAGTTTGAAACTGCGTCCTCTAGTGGTCTAGGCATGCACAACAACTAGTAGTAAAACTCTACTTAAAAGTACACTAGATATATGCAGCAAGTAAATGCATGCTATAAGAGGCATCATATGTGCATTTGTATTATAAAGCATTTGAAATTTGAAGTATTCAAATTTATTAATTATTATTATTATTATTATTTTTGCTATTTAAACCTGTAAAATGTTCAAATGAACTACTGAAATTATACACCATTATGGCAACACGTTTTTGCATTGCTTTTAACTCATCAAAATAAGCCCCCCTGTGGTGAAAAACACGTTTTTCATGTTGTTTATGTGTCTATGTGGTGTTTTTAATACGCTTTAAGGCAAACCATGTGTAAGTTCATAAGTCGACCGCATTGCTGAGTATTTTCTGCTTAAAGACAGTCTCAAAAACACGGTGTGAAATCGCTGGTGTTTCTGACCTTGTAACCATGATCGTCAACCAGTGGATCGTCAACTGAGTGGAGGCGGGGCTCATTTACATATTCATAGAGTTCATGTCAACATATTCATTTCTAGTTACATTCAAGCTATTTTAAGGCATAACAAAAACATTTAAGAAAAAAAAAACTTTTACAAAAGTTAAAAAACTCATTTTGGTGAGTTTTAAGGAATAAAATGACTGATTACAGGTGGACATTAATACATTTATAACTTTTGTTATAATGCAACTATTGTTTTTAAGTTAGTTCAATGTAATTTAAGTTGAAATGACTTAAACATCCAAGTTGATTGTACTTAAAAAAATAAAAACACTGCACAATGCTATTTTAACATTCATTACTGATAATAAATCAAGGTCTAAAGCAGACAGAACAAGCTTAATTACATCTGCAACAGACTTATTAGATTATATTGGTATTGCATTACTACTTTCTAAATCCCATATCAACCTCAACCAGTTGAACAATACAAGGACACATTAAAAAAAGCTATTTTAATTATTTTAAATAAATAAAATAAAATTGTATAATTTTTTTCTTGAATTGACCAAAGTATTTAAAGGGAGAAAGAACGAAAAACATACATTTTAACATTAGACATTACATTTTGGTTTAATTTATATAGTATTTAATGCAATCACATCAGAAGTAACTGTAATTAAATTACAGAAAATTAAGAGTCATCTAAATCAGAGTTACTCTCATCTTGTGTTTGGTGGAAATCTTCACAATTAAGGGAGTATAAAACAAATATTGTATGTTTGACAGTATGTCACTGTTAGAATTAAGTCCCTGTATTGCGGCATTAATGCAGTATGTTCTTTGTCCAGTAGGGAGAGACCAACACCATCATATTTGCTTTCCCTGTCTACAACATTTGATTTATACTCCGTCATGAAGCTGTCCACCAAACACACAGAGAAGAGTAAGTGTTGGCAGACAGAAGTATTGACAGTGATGAAAGGCTAGCAGAAGCTCTTGTATTGTTTGCTGTTATTTCTCATCTCATTACGTCAAAGGGTTAACTAGTTATGATGACACCTGGTTAAAACATCAGCCTTAGGTCACCGTGACAGAACTCACTTAACCAGAAACAGCACATTTTATTTGTTTCCATGGCAATATGTGCTTTTTGTCCTGTTGTTCGGACATGAACTTGTTGGTCTTTATTTGCGCTGCCCTGGAGTTAATGCATCCGAGCAGAAAACATCATTCAAGACATTCAGTGGCGCTTCATCAGATTATCATGAGCGAAACGACTACCTGTCAAAGCCATCTATCTATCTATCTATCTATCTATCTATCTATCTATCTATCTATCTATCTATCTATCTATCTATCTATCTATCTATCTATCTATCTATCTATCTATCTATCTACAAATTGTTAGTTAGTCCGATGGATTTCAAACTTGACGAGTGTCTTGCTACGGGCGCGAGTAAGTGCAGTGCCAAGTTTGATGTTGTTTGGATTGAAAATACAAAAGAGATCTGTAAATATATCAGCAAAAGAAGACGAAGCACACACTGAAGATGTTTAGGACATTAACACACTCTCAGCTAAACATTAAAGGAGTAGTTCACTTTTAAAAAAAACTTTAGCTGATGATTTACTCGCCCCCATGTCATCCAAGATGTCCATGTCTTTCTTTCTTCAGTTGAAAAGAAATTAAGGTTTTTGATGAAAAAATTCCAGGATTTTCTCCATATAATGGACTTCAATGGGGTCCAAACGGTTCAAGGTCCAAAAGTGCAGCTTCAAAGGGCTTTAAACGACACCAGCCGATGAATAAGGGTCTTATCTAGAGAAACGATCGCTCATTTAAAAAATAAATAACAAAGTTTAGTTTCATAAGCTCAAATGTTCACCTTGCTCTGTTCTGAACTCATTCATCAAAATGAACAAATCTTTTTTCGAGTCATTTGGTTAATTCAACGAACGAAATGACTCGAAAAAAGATTTGTTCATTTTGATGAACGAGTTTGAACAGGAGAGTCACAAACGCGCATCACAGAACAGAGCAAGGCGAGCATTTGAGCTTATAAAACTTAAACGTTTTTACTTATTTTTTAAATGGCCGATGGTTTCGCTAGATAAGACCCTTATTCATCGTCTGGTGTCGTTTAAAGCCCTTTGAAGCTGCACTGAAACTCTCATGCATTGTAGAACATTATGCATATCATAAAGGGTCAATGCTTGCAGTGCATGACAATGTTTTTGTCATTTCATTTACTTCAGTGAATTCTCTCTCCGATCAGTAATGTTCTGCTCACCACTGGTTTTATTCTCATATATATATATATATATATATATATATATACACACACACACATATATATATATATATATGAAGAGTTCAGATGCAAAAGCCTATTTCAGTAATTTCACTTAAATGTTATTTAAGTGAAATTACTGAACTTAAATATACAAGTTTGATAAAAGTCATTATTAAAGAAGAAAATTTCAAACGGCATTTAGAGGCTTTTGCATCTGAACTCTTCAAATATATATATAATTATGTGCTCTGGACCAGATGCAATAGAGAA